ACGCGTATTGCGTGCAGCCCCTGGGGCAGGGGAAGCAAAGGACGGCTGGAAGGAAAGGGACAAGGACACGGCAGGAGGATAGAACACGAGACACAGTAGCAGGACGGGGGTTAGGAACAGAAAACACGTTGCAACGCCAGACGGGCAGGTCGGGCGGGTAGACCCTAACAGGCGGGTCGGGAAGGCGGGCCCGGGCGGCCAGGTCGAGCAGGCGGGTTGCTGGAACGTGCGTCCTGCAGGGATCGCAGGGAAGTCTCAAGCGACAGCGCGATTCCCGAGCAAATCGTGGGGACATCCACAGCGAGAGCGTGATTCCTAAGTGTCGAGGGCGCGGCGTCATAACACATTTGAAGATATCCCGCGCGAGAGTGCGATTTGGTTATATCGTGCGAGGGGGTGTCAAGCGCGAGCCGCTGTTGATGTAAACGGGGGACCAGCCACCCAGTTTGGAGACACATTGTTTTCTGTTGGTAAAACAAGCAGTTTGCGAGCCCTGGGAAATCATCTTAATTGAACAACATAGTGGTTAGTGGGGAGGGATATCAACCACGATTAATCATCATAAGGGAGAACTTGGCAACAGAAGGCGCAACATCAACACCAACAGCCACCAACCATACCAATAACAACATTAACAGCAACAATCTCAACACAGACAATGACAACGACGACAACGACACCGACCGCTACAACAATAGTAACCATGACAACAACTACATCGGCAGCAACAAGAAAAACAACATCAACAGCAACACTCAGTTTAAGACTGCTCGCTCTTATCCCCTCGCGTGCCGCTCAACATGTATATCCCGCAACCCTCCATGCCCGCCCCTTTCGTCTTCGATTGTACCCCCTCGGGGCTATATATCTTTGTTAACTGCAACGTGTATCTCGTTCAGCCCCTAAGGCAAGGGGAAGGGAGGACGGATAAAAGAAAGGGACAAGGGGGAGGAAGGAGGATGGAGCACGAGAGAGAGTAAAAGGACTGCGGTTAGGAGCAGAAAGCACGTGGCAGAACCAGACGGGCAGTTTGGGCGGATAGACCCTAACGGGCGGGCCGGAAAGGCGGGCCCAGGCGGCCAGGTCGAGCAGGCGGGTTTCTGAAATGTGAGTCCTGCAGGGATCGCGAGGAAGTCTCGAGCGACAGCGCGAGTCCCAAGTACATCGTGAGGAAGTCCACAGCGAGAGCGTGATTGCTGAGTGTCGAGGGCGCGGCGTTTGAATAAATTGTGACGAGGTCCCACTTTAGAGCGCGATTTCTGCAGACATTGTGAGGAAGTCCCGCGCGAGAGCGCGATGTGGAAATACATTGAAAAAGTATCAGGCGGGAGCCGCTGCTGCTGTAAACCAGGTGCTGACAACCCAGTTTGGTGACACTTCGCTTTCCCTTCTAAACAACATTGTACGAGCCCTGGGAGAAGCACTTCAATTGACAAAATGGAATGGTTACCGGAGGGGGACCAACAAGAGTTAATCTTTAGACGTGGCGAATCAACAATAAGAGCAACACCAACAAACATAAGAACAACACAACAGCAGCAACTACAACAAACATATATCTAAGGTTGTTCGCTCTTATTCGCGCGCGCGCCACTCAACACGTATATCACAAACCCTCGATTCCCGCCTTATTCGTCTTCGATCATACCCCCACAGGGGGGTACATATTTCTAAGCATGCATCGCGTGTTGCATGCAGCCCGTATGGTCGGGGAAGCGAGGACGTATGGAAGGAAGGGGCAAGGGGGAGGGAGTACAGGAACAGGGCCAGGAGAAGAAGACAATTGGCAGAACCAGACGGGCAGACCGGGCGGATAGACCCTAACGGGCGTGTCGGGAAGGCGGGCCCAGGCGGCCAGGTCGAGCAGGCGGGTTGCTGAAGTGTGCGTTTTGCAAGAATCGAAAGTCTCGGACGATAGCGCGACTCCCAAGTTTATCGCAATATCATCCAAAGCGAGAGCGTGATTCCTGAGTGTCGAGGGCGCGGCGTCTGAATACATTGAGAGGAAGTCCCACGAGGGACACGATTGCAGCATACATTGTGACGACGTCCTGCGGGAGAGCGCGATCTCGGAACACATTGCGAGGAAGTATCACGCGGGAGCCGCTGTTGTTGCAACTCGGAGGCCAGGGGTCCAATTCAGAGACCCAAAATTTGCCCTTGTAAGAAGCACGGTGCGACACCCGCGAAGGGCACTTCACTTGAAGAACAGCAGCAGCAGCAACAACAACAATCATGTGCCATGCAACACGTCTGCCCCAAACCCTCGATACCCGCCCCCTTTGCATTCGATCGCTCCCCCTTAGGGGTATGTATCGTTTCTACCTCAAGGTGTATTTTGCGCAGCCCGTGAGGCAGGGGAAAACAGGATGGATGGAATGAAAGGACAAGGGGCAAGGAGGAGGATGGAGCACGAGAGAACGTAGCAAAATCCTTGGCCAGAAGCAGAAAGCACGTGGCAGAACCAGACGGGCAGTTTGGGCGGATAGACCCTAATGGGCGGGCCGGAAAGGCGGGCCCAGGCGGCCAGGTCGAGCAGGCGGGTTTCTGAAATGTGAGTCCTGCAGGGATCGCGAGGAAGTCTCGAGCGACAGCGCGAGTCCCAAGTACATCGTGAGGAAGTCCACAGCGAGAGCGTGATTGCTGAGTGTCGAGGGCGCGGCGTTTGAATAAATTGTGACGAGGTCCCACTTTAGAGCGCGATTTCTGCAGACATTGTGAGGAAGTCCCGCGCGAGAGCGCGATGTGGAAATACATTGAAAAAGTATCAGGCGGGAGCCGCTGCTGCTGTAAACCAGGTGCTGACAACCCAGTTTGGTGACACTTCGCTTTCCCTTCTAAACAACATTGTACGAGCCCTGGGAGAAGCACTTCAATTGACAAAATGTAATGGTTACCGGAGGGGTACCAACAAGAGTTAATCTTTAGACGTGGTGAATCAACAATAAGAGCAACACCAGCAAACATAAGAACAACACAACAGCAGCAACTACAACAAACATATATATCTAAGGTTGTTCGCTCTTATTCGCGCGCGCGCCACTCAACACGTATATCACAAACCCTCGATTCCCGCCTTATTCGTCTTCGATCATACCCCCACAGGGGGGTACATATTTTTAAGCATGCATCGCGTGTTGCATGCAGCCCGTATGGTCGGGGAAGCGAGGACGTATGGAAGGAAGGGGCAAGGGGGAGGGAGTACAGGAACAGGGCCAGGAAAAGAAGACAACTGGCAGAACCAGACGGGCAGACCGGGCGGATAGACCCTAACGGGCGTGTCGGGAAGGCGGGCCCAGGCGGCCAGGTCGAGCAGGCGGGTTGCTGAAGTGTGCGTTTTGCAAGAATCGAAAGTCTCGGACGATAGCGCGACTCCCAAGTTTATCGTAATATCATCCAAAGCGAGAGCGTGATTCCTGAGTGTCGAGGGCGCGGCGTCTGAATACATTGAGAGGAAGTCCCACGAGGGACACGATTGCAGCATACATTGTGACGACGTCCTGCGGGAGAGCGCGATCTCGGAACACATTGCGAGGAAGTATCACGCGGGAGCCGCTGTTGTTGCAACTCGGAGGCCAGGGGTCCAATTCAGAGACCCCAAATTTGCCCTTGTAAGAAGCACGGTGCGACACCCGCGAAGGGCACTTCACTTGAAGAACAACAGCAGCAGCAACAACAACAATCATGTGCCATGCAACACGTCTGCCCCAAACCCTCGATACCCGCCCCCTTTGCATTCGATCGCTCCCCCTTAGGGGTATGTATCGTTTCTACCTCAAGGTGTATTTTGCGCAGCCCGTGAGGCAGGGGAAAACAGGATGGATGGAATGAAAGGACAAGGGGCAAGGAGGAGGATGGAGCACGAGAGAACGTAGCAAATCCTTGGCTAGAAGCAGAAAGCACGTGGCAGAACCAGACGGGCAGTTTGGGCGGATAGACCCTAACGGGCGGGCCGGAAAGGTGGGCCCAGGCGGCCAGCATCGAGCAGGCGGGTTTCTGAAATGTGAGTCCTGCAGGGATCGCGAGGAAGTCTCGAGCGACAGCGCGAGTCCCAAGTACATCGTGAGGAAGTCCACAGCGAGAGCGTGATTGCTGAGTGTCGAGGGCGCGGCGTCTGATTAAATTGCGACGAGATCCCACTTTAGAGCGCGATTTCTGCAGACATTGTGAGGAAGTCCCGCGCGAGAGCGCGATGTGGGAATATATAGCGAGAACGTTTCCGGCGGGAGCCGTTGTTGTCGTAAACCGGGGGCCAACAATTGAATTCTGAGATTCCATGTGTTCTCTCATATAAAGGACAGAGTGCGAGGCCCGAAAAGGGCACTCCAACTGAAAAACGCAATGTGCCTTGAAAAGGGGGATCAACAATAATTGATTTAGATCTGAAAATTCGACAGCAGCAACAACACCACCAACAAGAGCAACAACAACAACATCAATCTTGTTAAGACTGATCGCTCCTATCTGCCCAACTGCCATCCTACACGTATGATATCCCAAACCCCCGCCCTCGTTTTTCTTCGATCGTACCCCCTTGGGGGATATTTTTCTTGCCTGCCACGTGCAAGTCGCGCAGCCCCTAAAACAGGGGAAAGGCGGACGCGTGTAAGGGGGAGGGAGAAGGATGGAGCACGACACGAGAGGCATTAGCAGGAGAGGGGCAAGGAGCAGTAAACAGGTGGTATAACCAGACGGGCAGTTCGGGTGGGCAGACTCATTGCGGGCGGGTCGGGAAGGCGGGCTCAGGCGACCAGGTCGAGCAGGCGGGTTGCTGAACCGTGGGTCGTGTATGAATCGCGAGGAAAAAACAGGGTGCGAGAGCCCCGGGAAGGCACTTCAATTGAAACCAAGATGCCATGTGTGCCCTGGAGGGGGGGGGATTCCACAATATTGAGGTCTGTAGGAAGGAGAACGCAACGACGGCAGAAGCAACAGACGCAGCGTGCCGTCGCGCCGCACATTTCCCCTGGCAGCCCGTGGCGCTCGCCCCTCCTCCCGAGGCTGGGCGCCCTCTCCGTCGGCAGCCGCTCGGCGCGCCTCCCGCTGTCGCGGGCCGAGCCCGCCGCGGGGGCCAGCCGGAACTCGGCGGAGGGCCGCAGGCAGCGGGTCCAGGAGCGTCGCTCTGCACCTTCGAGGGGCCTCTCCTGTCGGAGCTGGCGACGACGACGTCGTCGACGACGACGACGACCACGACGACGACGACGACGACGACGACGACGACGACGACGACGACGACGACGACGACGACGACGTCGACCTCGACGTCGACGACGACAACGACGTCGACGCAAGGTCAGCATCCTTGACCCGGTCCCCATCCCCACTGGGCCGTGGTATCTTGGAGGCGGCCGGGGGTCCGAGGTGGCCCAGCACTGGCTCTGGCCGGCAGGAAGGGGCCGGGCGGCGGAGGCTCGAGGCTTTGGGTTCGGGGCTGTTTCTGTCTTCAGCTTCGGCCTCCGGGGGCCGTTTTCGGGCCCCAGGGCCGTCAGAAACGGACCCGGCCGAGAAACTGCAAAGATGGACCCTGGGAGGGGTCCGGCGACCGATTTGGGACAGAGTGGGCAGCACTCCCCCTCCTGATCGATTTTCTGGAGGCTCAACCAGCTAGTTCGGGCCCCCCATCCACATCCAACTCCCCGGTCCTGAAATCGGCTGTCGTCTCTTGTGTTCCGACGTGGGTTCGACGTGGACTCGACGTGAAGTCGACGTGGATTCGGCACGGAATCGGCACGGATTCGACGCGTTCGACATGGACTCGACGCGGATGCGACACGGAATGCTGGCGCGATGGGACAGACCCAGCCCCCCAAGGCCATGATTGTGTTTTTAATTTCGACCCCCATGGGTCTTGACCCATTCCCCGAGACCGGTTTTTCATCCCGAGTTTTTGACGTCCCCGAGGCCTCGGGGGGCCGAAGATAGCGAAATGAGCGAGTTGGAGGCACCTCGGGCCAGGGGCACATTCAGCAACCCCCGACCCTGGAATCCGTCGTTGCGCAGACAGAGCAACATGGCGAAAAATCACGTCCCGAACCCCAGACCCCACCGTTCTGCGTCCTCTGTCGAGCCGGATCGATCCGTGAGGGCCCCAAAGGACCCGAAATCGGGGGAGAAAACGCCCAGCGGGAAAACATAGCAAGGCCCAGATCTGAGGGGAGGATGGAGAACGCCCCGGAAGGGGCTGGTTTGCCAGGGGGCGGCTACTGGGATGACGGTGGGGGTTGCTAAGTAGATAGGCGGGTTACAAGTGGATGCTAAGGTGGCTTGCACCTGGCCCAGCCTGGCATGCAAGTGGGTTGCACATTCCCCGAGTGGCTTAGCAGAGTTAGACAACTCCGCTGAGTGGGCGAAGCCCACTTAGCCCGGATCGTGACCCCCTTTAAGCTATTTGGGGCATGTGTGGCCCACTCGTAAGCCAGGGTGGACCAGATAGAACCCACCTTGGCATCCACTTGGCCTCGCTCGGACGTGTGCATGTTTCTCTCGGCGAGGACCGTCGAGGAGCATCCTTGATTACTTAAGGGAAAAACCACGCACGAGACCGAAAAAAAACACAGGGAATGGACGTCCGAACGATGCCCAGTCCACTTGCAACCCCTCCTGCCCGCTTTTAGCAGCCCCCGCGGCGATCCCGGTAGAACTATATCAGGAGGGGGAAAAACACACAGACACAATTAACCCTCGATTCCCCAGAAAATATGGGAAAATATGGGAAGTGGGGGGGAAGACAAAAAACCCAAAAATATTGGAAAATATGGGGGATATTTTTATTTGTGTGTATTTATTTGTGTGTCCCAGTTCCCCTTCACTATAGGCGGCGCGCCCGAGGCGCGGCCCCCCCGAAAGACGCCCCCCGAGGAGTGGCAGCAGGTCGTGCTCCCGGCGCTGGTGCCCGCCGGCGCCGGCCCGCGGCGGGGCGGCCCGCGGTAGCGGGCACGCGCGGGCGGCGAGGCGCGCCCGGGTCCTCCGAGGCCCGGTGGAGGCTGCGCCGGTGCTCTGCAGGCCTCCTCGATGGGGTCGGAGGAGAGGGTCAGAGCCCCGAATCATCAGGGGTAGCTCGGGTCAGGGCTATAACTCGGGTTCGTTTTTCGGGAGTCCGAACCCGACTTGTACCCCGGACCCGAGTTGCCCCGGATAGCTCGGGCGTCCAGAGCCCCGAATCATCAGGGGTAACTCGGGTCAGGGCCAACTCGGGTTCCTTTTTTCGGGAATCCAAACCCGAGTTACCCCAGACCCGAGTTACCCCGGATAACTCGGGCGCCCAAGAGGGGCTCGGAGGGTCGCGCCGCAGCGCCGATGCGCCGGCGATGCATCGGCGGTGCGGCTCGATGTGGGGCCCACTTTTCTCCACGCCGACGTCGCCGATGCATCGCCGACGTCGCCAGTGCCTGGCCGATGCATGGCCGATGCATGGGCGATGTATCGCCGCCGATGTATCGGCCATGCGGCGAGACCCTCCGACCCCATCTACTCGGACCCCATCTAGGAGGCCTCTAGATCCCAGACACCCTCGGGCCATGTCGTCTTTTTCTTATTCATTGTCTTGCCGATCGGCGCGGGCCCTCGCACCCCCTCCCTGCCCCCCCTGGAGTAGATCTTGGCTGTTTTCGGCGCCCGTTTCAGGCAGGTGGGGTCTCCCCCTTTAGGACGCACTGCCGCAAACACTCGCACTAAGCAGAGGTCTGGAGCCAGACCTCCCCCCCCTTCCGCCCAATGTCGAAACGCCGAAGAAGAAAGCGCGTTTTTTTCCATGATGAACCAAAAAACGACGGACGGCTTCTCGCTATTTTGGGACCCTGGGGGCCCTCACCAGGCCTCGGAGCCGTCAGACATGGACTCGGAATGAAAAGCTGGTCCGGGGGAGTGGGTCGAGATCTCTGGGGGTCGACGCTATCACAAAAATCATGGCGTCGGGGGGCTCGAATCTAGGCCTCTCAGATGGGGTCCGAGTGGACGGGGTCGAGGATCGCGCCGCATCGCCGATGCATCGCCGGTGCGGCACGATATGGAGCTCGATTTTCTCCGCGCCGACGGCGCCGATGCATCAGCGATGTGGCGCGATCCTCCGACCCAATCTCTAGTGGGACCCCCTCTGGGAGGCCTCTAGCAGAGGGGTTGGGGGGGGGCCAAAGGTGGGGTCAGGGAGCGGATTGGGTTCGAGGCTGGCAGTTCCCCCCTCTCCATGGGCCGCCCACCTCTGGGCCTGCCCCTCCACAGAGGCTCCTCCCATGATCTCGAGAAAACTCACGACCGCGGTGATGCGCAGGTGCTTGGGCCGGTGCAGGCCCTCGCGGAGCCCCGGGGGGGACCGCCGAGGCGGGCCCTCATATGGAGAGAGAGGGAGGTGTCGGGACCTCCGGCGGCCCCCCGCAGGGGGCGAAGCAAGGCGGCGCGATGCGGTGGGGGCGTTCGTTGAGGGACGAGCCCAGGTCGCCGAGCGCGTTCCACCACTCGCGCAGAGTGCCTACTCGCAAGCGTCCGAAAAACACAGGTCTGCCCTGATGTAATGTATCGTAGAGATCCCCCGCGCAGGATCCAGGCAATTTGTTAGGTACTTTGCGAGTAGTCGAACGCGCTCGTCCACCAGGGGGCTTCAGGCCCTGGAGGATCCCTTATCCGATGAGGTCGGCAATGAGATTCATGGCCAATACATGATTGGCCATTGGTGTTCCACCAGCTTCCAGACCCTGGGTTCCTTATCCAATGGTTCCTTTATCCAAAGCCCTCACCGTATGATGGCTGATCATCTCAATGTGGGCGTTTTTTGTAAAGATTTCGGCTCGGGGCGCCTCTGGGGCCGCGGGGTCATCATAAACGTGTCCGGGGAGAAAAGCTGGCCCAGGGGAAGGGGTCGGGACCTTGATTGGGGCCGCGCACTAGAAATGACCCCAGCAAAGCACCCTAATAGCAGCAAAGGTGAAGAGGCGGGACAGGGGTGAGAGCAGCCAGGCCAGGGGTGAGAGCACGGCCACGTGCATAGATCTTACAAACGGATCGTGGCCGCTTGGACCGAAAATGTAGCTGGCATTGAGGCGCAAGTCCATGTGCACCTTAGTGCATGTTTTGCCACGGGTCCTTGCCCTCCAGACCAAAAGTGTGGTCGGCACTGCGGCGAGAGCACGATTCCTGAACGGATTGTGCGAGGAAGTCCCGCGAGACGACGGCCGGACCGGGCGGTTTGGGGATCCCCGCCCCCCTTTCGTGAAACTCTTCTGTGGCTCTCTCTTTTCATGATTTGGAGCCTTCTGGCGCAACGCCCTCGGGACATCGCAGCGTCGCATGTCCGGGGCCAGCGTTCACGCCGCAGGGGCCCGCATCGTGCCCTCGCGGTCCGCGGCAGCGGCGGCGCGGCAGGGGGGCGCGCGGCGTGCCCTCGCGACGCCCGCGGGGGGGAACGGGGGTCAGTTTGCTCCGGCCTCGGGATGGCCGAGACGGGCTCCGAAGGGACGGGGGCGATGACCGGCAGCAGTCCCAGACATCCGACATCCTGGAAGCAAAAAAGCCAGACGGAGGTCGGTCGTCGCCTTCGGCCTCCGGGGGCCCTCGCCGGGCCCGGGGGCCGTAAGAGAACGCCTCGGGATGAAGCGCTGGCCCGTGTGGAAAGGGTCGGGGCTTCCAGCGGCCCCGTCTCGAACAGAAGGCATCGGGTTTCCTGAGGTTCGGCGAGAGTCCTCCGCGAGTGGCGGGGAGCGCGTGCCCAGCGATAGCGGTCGCCGTCGCTTCCAGGCGGCATCTGCTGCCGGGCGTCGTCCACGCTGCCTGCGATGCTCCTGTCTCGGACGCCCGAGCGGCCCGCGCCGAGCAGCGGGTCACGAGGGCCCTGCAGGCGGGCCTGCGCGCTCGCGCAGAGCCACACCTCCGCACGCCCGCGCACCTCCATCCTCCCGCCGGCTGGGCGGTCGTCTCTCGCTTCTGCGCCTCCGCACTTCTCGCAGAGCTGTTTTTTCCTCGCCGCCTCGAGCGGTCCCGACGGTGTCTTCGAGCCCAGCGAGATGACAGAGACGGGGGGAAAGAGCAGAGAGAATCCGAGCGAGGCAGGAAAGAGGGGGCTGAGGGGAGCGGCTCAGGTCATGTGGGGAGATAGGCTTAAGTCGGGCGTGTCCCTCTGCATGAGGAACATTCAAAAATAATCAGAAAATAGTCAGGGCACGATGTTTGACACTTTGTTTATATTGTTGGAATATTGTTTGACTATCTGTTACTTTCGTCCAAAATCCGCCTTCAGGGGGTCATGCCCGACCTAAAGGCAACGTGGACAGACAGACAGACGGATGGAGAGAGAGAGAGAGAAAAAAAAAAAAAAAACAACAAAAAAAACACGAATACGATGCTGGGTGCGACAACCTGGGTCCCCCATCCAACGAGCATTGCAGACAGCGCTCGAAGAAACCGCACACCTTTTGCAGGGCCGGCAGCTGGTCTCTGCATGAATCGCCTTGTGGCTGGCATGGCCTCGCATCTTCGCCGCCCGCATGCCGAAGCGCAGCTGGTGGGCGCGGCGCCCGCGCGGAGCCGTCGTTCGCGGTGGGTCAAGACTGGGGGTCCCCGCGGCTCCTGCTCCAGTGGGCGCGCGGTGGGCCCGCGTCGTGCCGACCGGTGGTGCTTTGGCCGCCGGCGCTCCACGTTGAACGCCGCCGGCGATCATCGCTGCCACGGCCTGTCGGGCCGAACAGAAGGGGGGGGGGATAGGGAAAGGGGGGGTTACGAAATCTGCTGCATGCAGCTGATTTCGGCCCCGCCGCCGGGCCCAATCCTCGGTATACATGGAGGTGCTCCTCGGCGCCGGGAGGTGCTGGGAAAATCAGCCACGTGAGCTGATTCTCTACCCTATACCCCTTGCTATCCCCCCCTTTCGCTCCCCCCGAGTCTGACGTTTCGGGAACGGCCGAGCGTTCGAGGTGGAGCGAGCCCCGCGGTGTCCGAAGCCAGCGCCGAAGTCGGCGCGGCACGAGCCCGCCGCACGCAGGTCGGGCTCGAGCAGGGAGGCCTCGGGGAGAGTGGCCCGGTCCTCTCGGGAGCCACCAGCCCATCTTACCTCGGGGACGGCCAAGAGCTAGGGGGGTGATGACTAAGGGGGGTGCATATCATGGCGTGGGCCATGATATTTCCTCAGATTTCATGGTGCCTCCTCCTCTTTCTTTACTTCCCTGGGTCCCCCCGCCTGGGCCGCGCACATGCCGCCAGCTATGATTTGCGCCCCCCCCTCTTTGACGCCCCCGTCTTGGCCGCCCCCGATCACCGGGCTGCACATGAGAGAGAGGTTTCGCCGGAGTAAGGTATCGCCGGAGTGGCCATCAGTCAGGGGCGACGATGGGGGCGGATAGCCCAGGAGAGAGCAATACGTGTATCCAGGGGCGCCGATGGTGCATGCCTTCGGCGAGGCTCCCAGGCGAATGCACGTAACGCCCGCCCATGGGCTAACTATTCGCCCCTATCATCGCCCCCGCATCAGTGCGGGCCCAGCTTGGAACTCTCCCAGCATAGGCCGCCGCGCTTGGATCAGGCCCCCCCCCCCGCGGCCGCGGCCCCCCGAAGTAGCTTTCTCGCGCAGCCAGTCCTCATCCTCCGCCTTGTCTTCCTGGTCCTGGTCCCTTTCTGAAAGTCTCCGGGGGGACCCTGGAATTCTGTGTGGGTCCCCGCGGAGGCCCCCTGTCCCTTTCGGGAAGCCCCGACAACACCAACAGAAGTTCAAAAAGACGGGGTCCTCCATCTTTCTCCTCGAGGGCACCTGCTCCCCATAATGGCCCAGACGTCTGGAGCCTCCACTCAAATATTTGGTCTCTCGAGGCCAAAGTTGTGTTTCGGTTCCTCCTACAAGCGGCTCAAGACGAAAAGCTGGCCCTGGGGAAGGGGTCACCACGCCTGGCCAGGACCAGCCTGGGCCCAGGGGGACCTCCAGACCCTCCTGGCCTCAGCCAGGAGGGCTCGGCTGCACGTAAGAGTGACCCTTCGCCGAAGGGGCCCTTGCTGCGCGGGAGGGCCGAACGCAAGCGCGCAGGCCGACGTCATCATGTTCTCTTCACATCGACACCCAGAGGTCGCCACCCACTCCCTGGGACCGGAGTTGTTTTGTTGACGGTCCCGAGGCCAGGTGAGGGCGGCCCCCCAGAGGCCGAGAATAGCGACAGACCGTCCGTCCTGATGTGTCGCGGCCCTGGCCTCGCTCGGACATGTGCGCTTGCCCTCGGCGAGGGCAGCCGCTGAGCGTGTTGGAGCATCTTGGCGGAGACACCACGCACGAAACCGAAAAAAGTTCACGGGGGCGGGACGTCCGAGCGATGGCCGGTCCCCCCAGGGGGCCGGGGCCCGGCGGCCAGGGACTGCCGCTCGGCGGGCAGCAGTCGGTAAACCGCCGCGCACCAACGGCCGCGCCTGCCCCAGGGGCCGCGCGCTGCCACGCCCTGCGGGCGGCGCTGGTGCGCAGAGGCTCTCTGCGAGCAGGAGGGTCCCAGACCCCCTCGCGCGGTGGAGCGAACATGCGGCGCACAGGCGTATAAGCGCAGTTCTCGGCCTCTTTGGGGGCCCTCGCTGGGCCTGGGGGCCATCGGGCAGCTGTTGAGGACAGAGAGCTGGTCCCCGGGGAAGAGGGGGTCGAGACCTTTGAGGGTCGACCTTTTCGGGAGAACGCAGTGGCGTCGGGGGTCTGGGCATCGACAGCCAAGAGGCCGAGACGAGTAACAGCTCGGGTCCGAGACGGGGCGCCGTTCCTTCTGTGGGTCGTGTCTCGCGGCAGCAGCTCCTCTGCAGGAAGGCGTTCGCCGCCCTGCCGCCCCCTCCCCCCCCCCTTGCAGAGGTCCTCGCCGCTCCCTCGGGCCCCGGGGCTTCCTCCGCTCACTGCCAGGGGGCCAGAAGACGGGCAGGAGGCCCGGCTCAGGGCGCTCCAAGCAGGGCCTCGCCTTCGAGGACTCGTCGCCCTGGCGAAGACAAGGGGCCCTCCCCGAGATCCGGGCGTCGCAGGCTATGCCGCACCGGCGCTCCGCACGGTTTCGGGCCTGGGGCCCCCCACTGGCAGGTCCAGCTGGAGAGGTGCCGCAGAAGTACGGGGCACGGGGTTCTGGCCGTGATGCCCCGTGACGCCGCACGTTTCTCTCGACGACGGATCTCACGGCTGCAGGGGGGGGGGCCCTGGAGTTTCGCGCCGCTCTGGAGTGCCTGACTACGCACCATGGGGGAGGCGAACCACCAGCGCCCTGCATGCGGCAGTCGGGGAAGCACGAGCATGGATTGAGGTGCACGGATGAGCGGCGGGTCCCGTTTCCATGCAGAAGCGGCGCGTTGCGTCGCCAAATCCGTCGGCAGTAGCATTACGGTTCGGGGAGTCCCTTCCCCGGCCCGTGGATCTGACGTCCAGCCCGTGGAGGCCCCCAAGAGGGCACCAAGACGGCCATAGAGGCCTCGAAGACAGCCTCCGAAGGCGCCAGACAGACGGCCAAACATCGCCCAGAGGCGGCCAAAGACGCCCCCAGGACGCCCCAACAGGCTCCCAACAAGCTTTTAAACAGCCCCAGAGACCCTAGGATACTTGCAGGCTCCCAACAGGCTCCCAACAGGCCCTGGGAGACTTGCAGCAAAAGGCCCCAAGCAGGGCCCAAACCTGTAATTCTACAGATTTCGGACGTGCACCGTGGGAAGCCAGGGACACTCCTGGATCCCGAATCCACGCTGGCGTGTGCCCGAGACCGTACCCGAAACCGGACATCGCGAGAAGAAGGGGATTTCAGCACCGCGCAGAAACCATGACGTCGGAGCCCTCGACCCACATTTATTGTGAAAGCCTGACGGCCGGTGCCGCCGACCGTGAAAGACATCGACGACGACCAGAAGGAGGAGGAGGAGGAGGAGGAGGAGGAGGAGGAGGAGGAGGAGGGGGAGGAGGATGAGGCGGAGATAAGGACGAGGAGGAGAAGGAGGAGGAAAAGGACCCCCCTGGGACACCCACCCTGTCAGGCGATCGCAAACATGGATTAAGGGGGCGTGGATTAGCGACGGGTCCCGTCTCCATGGGACATCGCGGATTTCCGGCGCCGAGCGAGGCGGCACTGGTCGCATTTTTCGGGAGGGCCCCTCCCCCGATCCATGGATTTGGCGACCGCGCGCCAAATCCATGGATCGCTGATCCGTGCCTGCGCGCCCGCGATGATGATCGCCAGCCGAGGGCTTCTCGGGCGTCCTCTCGGGGCCCAGGGCCGTCTCGATGCCCCCTTGGGCCGCCTGAGGACCCCCCTGGGACACCCCCTCCCCTGGGGAGGAGGAGGAGGAGGGGGATGAGGAGGAGGAGGAGGAGGAGGAGGAGGAGGAGGAGGAGGAGGAGGAGGAGGAGGAGGAATAGGGGACCCCCCTGGGACACCCCCCCCTGGGGAGGAGGACCGGAGGGAGGAGGAGGAGGAGGAGGAGGAGGAGGAGGAGGAAGGAGGAGGAGGAGGAGGAGGAGGAGGAGGAGGAAGGAGGAGGAGGGGGGAGAGGAGGAAAAAGAGAAGAGGAGAAGAAGAAGGAGGAAGAAGATGAGGAGGAGGAGGGGGAGGAGGAGGAATAGGAGGAGGAGCGCTGCCAGAACGGGCGGCGGCCGGGCCCCATCGTTGGCCTGGGCGCCTGGCCCTGCCCGCCGCCGTGTGTTGCAGTCCAGGTGCTGGGCGGAGGCAGGAGGGGGAAGAGCACACACATGGACACAAGTACTGGGATGACCGTGGGGGGTTCTAAGTGGGCATGGGGGGGTTGCAAGTGGATGCCGACGTGGGTTTTATCTGGCGCAACCTGGCTTAGAAGTGGGCTACAAGTGCCTTGAGTAGCTTAGGGGGGTGAACGAGCTGGGCTAGGTGGGCTCTGCCCACTTAGCCGAGTTGTCGAACCACCCTACGCTACTCGGGAAAATTGTAACCCACTTCTAAGCCAGGTTGGGCCAGATATAATCCACCTTGGCATCCACTAGTAACCCCCCTATCCACTTAGAAACCCCCACGGTCATCCCAGTAATCGACGACTCCCAGGAACATCT